CTACTATTTTAATGTTAAAATATTTTTAAGTATCAAATTCTGTTCAGTTTTGTACGCTCTTTCGAATGAAATGTCGTTCGAAAAAATCGAACGAAAACTAACGATTTTATACATAAAAAGCTGAAATTCGGGTTTTTTTAGGCTGTACAAATAAAACTTACCAATTTTCTCATTTAAGGTCTATGGACAAAAAACGGAACATACCAGAAGAATCAGCTCGTCGAGCTCTACAAACTGGTACATATCCCATTTAAAACTGAGACTCACACTTGGAGATGTTCCCTCGTAAGTAGTAATGATACAGAGGTACCTGATGAAGTAATACAAAATCTATAGATACAATTTAAAAGTGAAAATATAAAAGATGAAACATTTAAGCATAGTTTAATTTATGCTGTAACAGCATTTGTTGCTAAAAATAACCAACAGATACCTGAACAAATATTGAAAACAATAGTCAATTTTTTAACAAATAAAACAGATAATATACAATTAAGAATTGCTTGTGCAAATATTTTATCGAAAGAGATAGAACAAAATTGTAATTGTTTTAAGATACTTCGATTACATATTGTATCATTGCAAGTCGTAGCGTTAGAATCAAGAAACAATAAAAATGAAGATTTATTGAATAAATTTGTTTTTCAAATTTTAGAAAAATTTGTTCAAGAAAAAGATTTGTCACAACGGTTTTTCGTTGACTATTCTGTTAAACTTAAAGAGCGAGCAATCAGTTTAGAAGAAAATTTGACTGCACAAGATTTTCTAAAACAATTAAGTCCATCAGATAAAGACATTCAAACAGAAAAAGATAGTTTAAAAAAATATCATCTGTTAAATACGCTTAACAATTCATTAGTAAATTGTCAATATATTGACACAACAATTTTTAATCAATTTGATTCGAATGAGTGGGAAAAAGAAATATTATGTAGTGAATTATTAACAGAAACATTTAAATTAAATTCTCAAAACAATGAAGGAATAAATGAATTTGAATTAGAAAAATTTCGAAAAAATATTAATTTATTAAAAATTAATCAAAACAAAAATGTATTAAAAATATTAATTGATAAACAAAATATTTATCAATTTGATCTTGAATTCATTAACGATATTTTATTAATGTTGTCAGAATTAGATGAGTCAAGAATCATCAAAGCTTTAAATATTTTAGAAAAGAAGGATGATAGTCTTTTTCTAGAATTACAAAAATTATGGTTAACAAAAAGATTAGAACATTTTAATATAAAATTTAATGAGAAAAATTTAAAAATATTGAATTCATATTTAATATTTAAATGTGAAATAATAAATCAGATATTAAGTAAAATAAAAGAAAATACGAAAATTGAAGAATTAATTGAATTTTTCGTCATATTAGAAAATTGTGGTTTAACACAAAATACTTGTGAAAACTTTTTAGTAAATGAAATTGTTCATAAAACAAGTATTAAAAATTGGAAATTAAAATTAAATGATAGATTAGTAGGAATAATTTTAACGAATAAATATCCAATCTATAATAATTATCTTAAAAATACGAACAATTATAAATTAGCAATATCAAAAAATGTTGTATTTACTAAAAATGCGTATAATCAAGCCAATACAACATATTCGTACAATGCAAATGATATTGTACAAATATCATCAGAATGGATGAAAAATTTTATCAATAGTTTTAGAATTACACAAGCGATAGATCAACAAGTTGATACAAGTTTACATGATATTTTAACGAACATTTTAAATGATTGTAAAAAAGATCAAACATCGACAATTATTCCCTTAAATATTGCCGATAATCATTGGATTACTTTGGTAATTATTCATCATGAAAATAAGAATATTGTATTGTATAAAGATTCGTTAGGCAAAGATAATTTTGTTGAGAAAAGGAAAGAAGTACAGAAGATCTTAGCAGAGAAATTTGAAAATATTATTTTTAAATTTCATAAATCTTGTGATCAATTAGATTGTTACAATTCTGGAGTATTTGTTTTGGCCAATATGAAGATTATTGTTGAACAGTTGAGGAATAATGAAAAATATTTTATTAAAAATTTTGAAATGAATAATTTTATTATTGAAAAAGAAGTAATGGAACTTCGTCAAGAAACATTTCCAAAAATGTATGCTTTGAATGTATATCAGTTATATAAGAGAAAAAAAGTTGTTAGTCATCATTCTGTTGAACTGAAATTATTACAGAAATTACTTGAAAAGAATAATGACATTGTAAACCATTCGATAGTTATAGGAAAAGAAAATAAACTTGAAAAAAATGGACTACGATTATCAATTGAATTACCTGAAGACGAAAATTTAGTAAAAGAAAATTATCAATATTTGTATGTAATTGAAGCTTCGAAAGGTTTAAGAACGAAAATTATTGCAGTTTTAGACATAAAAGAAATTTATTCTGTAGAAGAAAATGTTGTTAAGATATTAGATCAAAAATTAACAGCTCTTAGTAAAATACAACAGAAAAAATTAGATCAAAGTGAATTAACAATTAAAACATCTGATAGTGAATTGGAACGATTATTAGACGAACTGAGTGTTGATTCTAATGATTTTAGTAAAGATATTTTAAGAAAACATTTAAATTTAATTCAAGAAAAGAAAAAAGATGATTCATCCTCTATTAATATAAATGTTTGTGAATTATTAAATAATTTACATAAAAAATTAACAACAATTTTAACATGTGATTGGTCGATTGAATCAATTCGTGAATTAATTCTTTGTATTGATAATTCAAAAGAAAAATTATAAGATTTATTACATTCATTAGATCCAATTTATGAATATAATTTAAAGAAATATGATTGTAATATAAAAGGAAATAATTTATTTGATATTTTAAGATTATGTTCATCAAAAAATTGGACAAAAGAAATTCATGATTTAGCTATTTTTCAAATATATAAAGGAAGTTATGATAAAAATTTAGAACAATTAATAACAGAAATATTTGAATTAAATAAACAACAGAAAATTTCAATTTTACAAAATCAAGAATTAATAACAGAATATGGAAATGTTGAAAATTGTTATAATAATAAATCAACAATTTGTCCAGAATTTGATATTATTAAAAAATGGACAGCATCAGAAATGAATGAATGGGCTAAAAAAGTTAAACCTATAGAAAATGTTAGTCAATATTAAGGATGCCGGTATCCAGTTCCGTCCTTCGGCGAGACGAGACTAATGTTTTTAAAAACTGCAGGACAAGACGAGACGAAAAATTCTTTTGCAAGATGGGACGAAAATCTCGTTCCGTTCTGTCCCGTAAGCGTCACTAGTCAATATGAAAAAATTGCAATTATAAAGCAAGCTGTTGTAATTACTAGTAAATTTCCTCCACGAAATATTCAATTATTATCATTATTAATATTGTTGAATTCCGAAAATGGAATGGGACGTCTTTGTCCAATAAATACTGGTGAAGGAAAAACAACAATTGTTGCTATGTTAGCTGCAATTAAAGCACTTGATGGACATAAAGTTGATATTGTTACGAGTTCTCCAGAATTAGCTAAACCACAAGCAGAACAACCAAAAAGTTTTTATGATAAATTTGATTTAACAGTATCACATAATGGAAAATGTGAAATAGAAATAAAAGAACAATATAAAGCTGATATTGTTTATGGTGCAGCAAGTGATTTTCAAGGAGATATTTCACGAGATGAATATAGTAAATTGGGTACACGTTCTGATAGAAAATGTGATGTTGCTATTGTTGATGAAGTTGATTCAATGTTAATTGATGGTAAAAATCATATTGTTATGTTGTAAACACCAATGCCGGCAATGGATCATTTAGAACCAATTTTAGCATCAATATGGATACAGATAAGCGAAACTGCTGGATCAATTAGACAAATTGATGGCAAAGATTATTATGTAGAATAAGAAAATAGAATTGACAATAATGATAAATCAATAAAATCTGACATTATTGAAAAAGCTTTTCTTATTGAAGAAACAAAAGAAGAATTTATAAAAAAATGTACCATAACACATATAAAAAAATTACTTCGAGTTACAGAAAATTTATCGGATAATGATAAAATAATTTCTAATGACTATCCGGAGATAAAAATTCCTAAACATTTACGAGAATTAGTAATGGATGTTCAATTAACAAAATGGATTGATAGTGCCATTCATGCAAAATATCGATGTAAAAATGAACAACATTATATTGTTAAAGATGGAAAAATTGCACCGGTTGATGCAAATAATACTGGAATTGTACAACAAAATATGCATTGGAGTAATGGATTATATCAGTTTTTACAAATAAAACATGGTGCAAAAATAACTGCAGAAAGTTTAACAACAAATTTTATTTCAAATGTAACATATTTTAGACGTTATGGTTCAAATATTTATGGATTAACTTGGAAGTATAAAAGCACGAGAATTATTAAATAAAACATATAATGTAGATAGTGTAATTATTCCACCATTCAGACAAAAACAATATCAAGAATTAATGCCAATAATTACGAAGACTGAAGAAAATTGGTATACAAATATTGTTGAAAGTTCAATAAATAAATTAATTAATGGTCAAGGAGTGTTAATTATTACAAAATATATAAATGAAGTTGATGAAATTAAAAATAGATTAATAAAAGCAGAATATGATATAACAAAAATAAAAACCTATAGAACAGAAATTGATTCAAAAATTATCGAAGAAGAATTGAAACCAGGTGAAATAATTATTGCAACAAATATTGCTGGTAGAGGAACTGATATACGAGCTGAGAAAATTGAAAAAAATGGTGGATTACATGTTTGTGTTACATTTTTACCACCAAATGAAAGAGTTGAACAACAAAATGTTGGAAGAACATCAAGAACAGGAAATAAAGGAATCGGTCAATTTATTTTATTAGAAACAACAGAAAATGATTTTGAAATATTAAAACAAATTCGAGACAAACAAGAAGAAGATGGAATTCATAAAGCAGAAACAGAAATTGAAAAAGTAACAATCAAAGATACAATATTTGCAGAATTTTGTAAATTATTAACTGAAATTAATCAGACAAATATTCCACATATTAAACATAAAATTCGAGCAGTTGAAGATAGATTTGGTTAAAAATGCAAGAAAAATATATTCAAGAAACAACAACACCAACAAAAATTGAAGTGTTAAATAAATTTGAAATATTTAAACAAAATATTTTGACAGATAAAGAAAATGATAAATTAATTGAAAATCCACATTTTTATGTTTTAATTGGTAATGATTTATTAAAAGAGAAAAAAAATAATGAAGCAATTGAAGAATTTAGAAAAGCAATTGAAATTGATAAACATTTTCAAGTTAATGCTTTTTATAATCGTGGATATGCACGAATTGCTCAATATGGTAGTAACATGAACAAATATGAAACTGAAATAACTGAAGCAATTAATGATTTTAAACAAGCTAAACAAATAATTGAAGATAATTTAGAATCAATGTTAAACATTTTTCAACTAGCAGCAAATTCAGAAGTATTATCAGAACAAGTTTCAAATAAATTGACACTTTATGGAATACAAAAAAATACTATTGAAATGGCAATTGGTGTTGGAAGTATTGATGAAGAACTAAAAGGATTAGAAAATCGAAAAAAACAAAAAGATATAACACAAAATGATATTCAAGCAATCGATAATGAAATCAAATGTTTAGAAGACAATAAAAAAGCAATAGGAGATGGAGCTATCGGTGAGGCAATAAATAAAAAAAGAAATATTGAAATTGAATTTCTAGAGATAGAAAAATCATTACCCGAAGATCAAAAGATTGAATTATATAAAGATGAAATAAGTGAATATAAAAACAATGGTTTTAGAGGAAACTTTAAAATTACAGAAATAAAACCAATTCCTTGGTCAAAAGTAATTTGTTTAGCGCTTATTGGTCTTGCTCAAATAATTATAGGAGGAGCACTTGCAGTATTTATTCTCGGAGTCGGCTCTACCATTGGTATGGGATTAATATCCGAAGGAATTAGTGATATAATAATAGCGGTTAAAGATGGTATTATTAATAGAGATTTTAGTTGGGCATCATATGCCATACAGAAAGCGATTAGTTTGACTGTTTCTATTGTATGTGCAGGACTTGGAGCGATAAAAGATGTCGCTAAAACTGCAATTGCTGGAGTTAAAGCAGCAACTACAGCAATTACTGTAACAGTAAAAGAAGGATGTAAAATAGCAGCAAGAGCTGTTGGTACTGCTTTGGCTAAAGGTGTAGCCAAAGAATTAGTAACAGCGCTTACTGATTATGGTGTGAATAAAGCTTTGATGCCAAGTAAATTAGATGGACAATATCGAAATAATCATTATGAAAAATTAATTAAAGATAAAGCAATGGAACTTTTGAATCCACAAAGTGAATCAAAACATGCTCTATTAACCATAACAGAGGGTATCGCTAAGGGAATAGCAACAAATAAAATATCAGGATTATCTTCAGTATTACAAATTAATGAAGCACGATTAGCTTTAGATGAATTAGACAAATTTCTACCGAATTTTATTAATAATTTAAATAAAGAAATTGAAAAATTATATAAAGAGCAAAATGTTCAGAAAAAAATTGACGATCTCAACAAAAAACAACGACAACAACAACAAACGAATGTACAACAAAACACAACAACTGTTAACAAACGAAATACAATAAAAGAAGAAACAAATGGTAATTATACTTCTGATTTTGTTGTAGAAAAATCCAAAAAAGATATTGACATTTATATAGAACAAAATGAAGAAAAAATGAAATTTGAACGAGAAAATAAAACTCCAGAAGGACTACGTAAATCTTTGGCACTCAGTGTATCTACAAATATGTGTAATATTATAAAAAATAAATTAACCCTTTGGGGACGGGTGACGTTTTAAAACGTCAAAAATCGGAATAAGTCGTGTTTTCCAAAACTTTCTTTTGAAGAAACGTCTCTCAAAACTAGATCATAATCAAATTTCAAATATATCATCTTATG